AAACGAGACGAAGGCTGTGTACGCAGCACAGGTCCGAGCTGGCGCAACATCGTGTAAGGAAGCTGACAACGTCACAGTTCCGACGTTGGCAACTTCAACTTCTCCATTGGGTGTCGATGCCGTGCGCATGAGCAGCCTGCGAGGTTACGGTGGCCATGAGCCCCGTCCATTGCACCGAACAGGGCAGCGACATAGCCGAGCCGCGCTCAATGAGGACGAACTACGTGAAAGCCAAGGCCGACCCAAGAGCGTAGGGTTTGTGGGAGGAACTCACGCCTCGGCGCGTAGTGAAATTGTGAGAGCTGAAGCCGCTCTAGATCGGATAGCTGGCCATGCCATCCACAGGCAGCGTGTTGCCAATCCTGATAATGCTGCTAATGCTTCCCCAGAAGCATCTTTCAGTGTGACCCCGAAGTACCGTTACAACACCAATGGGCGAATGCCCTTTCACGAATCCAAGGATATACAGCGACTGGACAAGGTATGGGCTCGACAAGAGACGCTCCGTATGAATCATAGGGCAGATGATGCCAAGATGTATAACGACGTCAAATATGAGCGCAAGGCGGCTGGGCCTTTCATGGGAATGCTTGCATCACGTGGTACAATTATCCATATCGGCGATGAGGACTACGTCGAATACCGCGTTCTTACCAAGCCTTTGTTCTTTTAGAGTCAATCACAACCCTGGGATTTGAAACAGTGATGCATCATCAATGAGGCATGGCATATTTGCGAAAACATTTCAGCCATCTTGAAATTGAAGACGCAGTATTGTTGGAAGAGACTGGAGAGTTTGCAGAAGGTCATTAGTTGCGCAGTTTTAGCGGCTCATGTAAAATAGGGGCGGCCACAAATGCAAACAATAAGATCAACATAGGTTAGACCTCTGATGTGAATCGATTTGGCTTTTTTCAGTATTTGATATACTTAATGGAAAATAAAGTTTATCCTTCACTGCTGCAGCTTGTATAAACTAAATTTATTGCGCAGCGAGGTGTATATGTGTGTTCGTGATACCGTTGGATAAGATGCACCCGTAGATAGACAAGGGGAACTTGGTGTAATCGCCAGTTGTCATAGCGTCGATTATTATGACTCGTTTTAGTCAAAAGAAAACAAATTGGAAATTCGAGCAGGAGGAAGCTTCTGGTATGTAAAGGATGGCCGCAGACTATCACAAGACTACAACACGAACAAGAAAAAAGCCCCAATTCCAGGAAGAAGACTTATCACTTTGTATGTAGAATTTCTGCCGCAGACTATCACAAGACTACAACACGAACAAGAAAAAAGCCCCAATTCCAGGAAGAAGCTTAGTTAACAATGAAACGTGACGGATACCAGCATACGCAAACTAGAACTTCCTCATGACTAGCACTTATCAGTAAATGCTGTTTGATGCGGATCATTGCTAATGGATAGAATTCCCCAATTGCTATTATAGAAGTCTTGTTCTAATGATACGATAAATGACCCGACATCTTCCATAGCTAGGAAAATTCTTCAAGTGCACAAGCCGAATCCTGCGATGGCTTCCTGTACGAGGAGCTCTAATCCGCACTGTGCAAAGCCAGGAACTGATGCTTCTGCGGCAATACTGCTGCCCGTTGGGGCAGCATTAAAAAAGGTCTTCCAGTATGGGAAGATTCCAGTCCTGACATATCAACCCACTCGCAATTTTTAAAAATCATGCCAGTAGGATTCTCTCTGTG